CTAAAGGGCATATAAAACCAGAAAAAGCATAATATGGGACCTTTAATAATGACACAAACATATTTAATAAAAGTTTTTTTGGATTCAACATTTTTTATTGGTTTTCAAACAGTCAATTACAAAAAACTATTTTCCATATTTCCATAGCATCTTGTGGTTGTTGTTTTTAACACCTGTTACATGAAATCTAATTTTCAATATTTAAATAAAATTATTACTTCTAAATTAAATAAATGCATCAATTTCCTGTTACCTTCACCATGACTGATTTCACACCTTTCTCTTCGCATATTGACAGATGTTGTCATATTTATGAATAGAGGTGTTTGGTGAGATCAGGGGTTGCAAGTTTTTTTTCATGTGAGCATACCTTTGTTTATTTTTCAATCACATACTCACACTCACCAGTCGATCTCCTGGAAGAGGTTGCTGTGAAGACCGGAGTAAGATGGTCATTTTGGGCTCTTCATCTTCAGACATTACACTCTGTGACATCATATTTCTTGGCTGTTTGACAGTTTTTTAATGACTGCTGCATTGTTAATCATTATATTCAAATTGGCATCATAATGCCGCCTCATTTGTTGTTTGACTTGACCTACTTTTGATGCACTTAGTTCTGATGATCACAGTCCCCCCTGTTGTCCCCCTCTGGTATCTCTTCCTGGTAATTACTTTTTCACTAGTAAGAATAATGATTACAGATATCTACAATTGAATTTCCACAGTTTGAAAAGAGATTGTTACTAGTGGAAATGTAATTTCCCATTACAGATATCAACAATTCTCAAACCATTTCAGATATGTGTAAATGCAGATATCTACAATGACATTTCTACATGAGGAAATTCCTTTGTTGATATCAACAATTCAATTTAGACTAGTTAAAAAGAAAAATGTTAGATATGTTGGGCCACGCAGGCTTAGGACAGTCAAACAATGGACTTGGGCCTGCACCTCTGTAAAAGCCTCATTTGAGTTATTCACTGAGATCACAAAGAGGACTCCCTGCGGTACTTCACACCGCAAAGTAAGGAGGGGAACGGAACCTCTATCTCCTCATTAGAGGGGACCTGAGGTAGACCCCCCATGGAGCAGACCAGGCTACAAAAACTCCAAGACTTCCATTGCTCGACCTCTTTCCACGCGCTGACTTCTAGTGCTCGGAGACACAAGCTCACCTTCTGTTTCCTGCAACAATCTTCCTTTGTTTTAAGTTTTTTTGGCGCGCAGGTAATCCGCGGCCGGCAGTGTTCTAAATTCCGAGCTCGGATTGTCCAGTGAACGCATCTCAGTTTCTCGGAGAGCGTCAGACTATAACAGATTATCAGAAAGATAACGGTTTTATTCCGCCCTGCAACGAAAGGACATCAAAGGACATTTTTCCACTGGACGGAGAACCAACGAAGCCGTTCTCGCCGTAAGGGACCCTCGCCGCCATCAGATGCCTCTGCACCAGGACGGACAGAAGATCTGCTCCATTGCCGGACTCTTTTCCCTCACCAATTGCGGACAAAGCGATTCACAAGTGAGGCTTAATTAGGTCTGGTCAGAATTAGCTTTAGAGAGTGTTTTTAACAATTGTTGATCGAAGCTGAAACTGTAATTTTTATCTTTGTTGGACCGCTACGTCCTGAGTTTTACCTGTTTAAAACTCTTGTTGTTTCGGACCGCTGCGTCCTATATGTGTTTAGCGTAACAGCGTTATAACCAGGTATTACTCTTCTGATCAGAAAGGCCAGTGTAAGCCGTATTAACCTGAATTCGGCTATTGGTTTGTTTCTGTGAATGAAGGGAATTACTCCGAGTTGTGGCGCGGGAGTCGGACTGTGATCCGGCCTCTTCAGGCACGCATTTCTCTTTTATTCTCTTCTATCCTCTTTTATTTCCCCTTCTACGAACATACACACACACATATTCCTGTGTAAACGTACATCTGTAAACCAACTCCACCACCGCGCCATTACGCACAGAGATCTATACACTCGCGGCTATCCAGACGCCTCAGAGACACAGATCGTGTAGGGCCGAACTCGGTCTCTTTTAGACATTAAGGCCACATTTAGGTCTCTGTTAGGTGTGCGCCATCGGAAGGGCGACCACGTGGGACGAAGTAATCTTCCCCCACCTTTTCTCTCCCTTTTATCCACACACGCATGCACCCAGGTCTTTGTTAGGTTTGCAGCATCGTGAACGACCACGTGGGTACGAAGCCATTTCCCCCCTTTCTTCTTCCTCCTCTCTCTCTCTATCTCTCACACACACACACACACACACACACACACACACACACACACACACACACACACACACACACACACACACACAAACCTACATTCACACCCCTTCCACAAGCCTTTGCTTGATAATGTTTGTTGCTTAGATTAGTTTATAATAGTTATTTGTTTAATTAAGTTCATTGATTTTGGATTGATGTTGCTTTGTTTAAATAAATTCTGTTATAATTTAAGAGAGCAGTTGTTTGTGATTACTGGTGTATTTACATTGTGATATAAGCTGGGTGCGAAGGCTTTGTGTACGGATTTCAATCAATTTATTAAATATAGTTATTCATTATCAATAATATTAGTAATTAAATAACTAATTTAAGACTGATTTGATATTTTGGTTATATTTACCTGATTACAGGTTGGTGCCCCAAAACGAGATTAAACATAGTTTAATGATATTTTATTTATATTATTAACAATTAAGTATAATTATTAAAGAATATAACCAAAGTTGACTTGATACAACCCCAACAGATATCTCTAATATAATTGTAACACGTAAAAATGTAATTACAGATATCAAGAATTGCATTTCAGATATCTGAAATGCAGTTTTTGATATCTGTAATTACATTCTTTACATTACATTCAAGATATCAATAATATCAATGATATCTGTAATGTAAGAACAATTGTAGATTATCACTAGTAACAATTGAATTGTTGATATCTAGAATTAACATTTTTACAAGTGAGAATTGAGTTGTAAATATCATGAATTAGAATTGTGATATGTCAAAATTATCATTATGGATATGTCGATTTTGAATTTCAACATGTAAAATTGAATTCAGTGTTTCCCCTACCATTATATTAGGGGGGAGGCTTGATCAGCTTTGAGTCCGATTGGAAACACACGTGCTGACAGGCATTGCACAGAGGCAAAGCACAACATTGGTGGCAGTTCATGAGAGCTCTAATCAATAGAAACCATCTTAAAAGTCGCCGTTATCAACAAAACCATCACCATCACCATCATCAACATCATTAATAATGAGACCATCATCCTCATCATTAAAGTCGTAGGTATTCATGAAAGAGCTGGGTCTTAAAGGTGCAAAAGGGATTGTGCAGATCGAATGGAGTTTGGTAGTTCGTTCCACCACCGGGGGGCAACAGAGGAGAAGAGTCTAGTTAGCATCTTAGGACCCTGTTGTGAAGGTTGGATCAGACGCCTTTTATTGGCAGAGCATAGTGGGCGTGAGGGAGTGTAGACCTGGATTATAGAGTTTAGGTAAGGGGGAGTTTTGTAAGCGAGCGGCAGCATTTTAAACTTGATACAGGCAGGGAGCCAGTGTAAGGAGGTGAACAGCGGAGTGACATGGGCTCTTTTAGGAAGGTTAAAGACCAATCGTGCTGCTGCATTTTGTATCATCTGCAGGGGTTTGATAGTGCATGTAGGAAGACCTCCCAGTAGAGAGTTGCAATAGTCAATGCGTGATATCACAAGAGCCTGTACCAGGAACTGTGTAGCGTGTTCTGACAGGTAAGGTCTGATCTTCCTGATGTTGTACAGGGGCAAATCGACATGACGGGCAATTGAGGCCAATTGAACCTTAAATGTTAGCTGGTCATTAATCATGACACCCAGGTTCCGGGCAGACTTTGTGGGCATGGGTTTGGTTGTTCCAAGCTGGATATTGATCTGTGGTTGCATAGAGGGACTGGCTGGGATGATAAGGAGCTCAGTCTTTGAAAGGTTGAGTTGAAGGTGGTGTTCATTCATCCATTTAGAGATATCAGCAAGGCATGACGAGATTCTTGCTGAGACTGTAACATCGTATGGCGGGAATGATAGGAAGACCTTTCTGCACCTCATTGCTCTATACCTCTGTCCTGGGGGAAGTAGGGTGAGGTGAGTGTTCAGTGGATGTGTGATGTCCTGTTCTATTGAGGTTGTAAGGCGTGTGATGGCCCTGTTATTGAGTTCTGTTAGGTTGGGTGTGGGGAAACCGATTATTCTGGCAGCTGTGGTTGTGATGCGTGTGAGTATGGCCTTGTTTTTCCACAGGTAACTTGTTAAAGAAGCAGGTGGAACAGTACAGTAAGATGGGCTGGATCATGCTCTGATATAGCAGCAGGAGGAGATGGGGGCAGCATAGAGTCCTTTCAGTTTTCGGAGGGCTGGTGAAAAATTAATTGTAGATATCTTTAATTAGTATTGTTACTAGTGAAAATTACATTGTGTATATATCGGCTTGGAAGTATAACATGTCAAAAAGCAATTATTGATATCTGCAATTGCTATGACAGCTAATACTTTAATGTTGAAATGGCTTGCCATACACTCCAAGGCTGCTTCCCAGACATTAATTTATGACTGATAACTTGTGCAACAATTAAAACCAGAATAACTCATCCATCTAAAAAGTCTCAAATAAGAGAAGAAGAACAAAAATCAGTTTGAAAGATATGTTGCTTTTCCAGGATTGTGAACCATAGCATACACCGAACAATAGATAGATAAAATTGTCTTTTCTTCTGAATGCATTAACCATTGAGATTAGCAAAAGTATTTTAGGTCGACTTCTATAAATTTGTTTGAGTACCAATGTACATTTCCAGGTGTGGAAAAGCTTGGGATTCTGATACCAGGCAGGACACATTTAGTAAAGCAAAGATGTTTTTTTAATATTCTTAAACTATAACATAACTTTAATGACACACATGCTAATCTTGCTGTAAGCAAATCAGACAAGAAAAACAAAGTATGTCACAATATATATCTTTATTCATTACACATATTTTACATTACAAAACACATTACTTTTATGTCTTCAAAATCTTTAGTAAAAAAAAAAAGAAATCAGCAATGGACCTGTGGCTTCTTAACAAAGAAAGAAAGAAAGACAGTAGTTTCATACATACAGCAGTAAGTAATCAGCAAATCATAATTTTATAAAACATTCAGCTCGTGCGACAGATTGAGGCTTATTGTTTTCCAAAAGATCAAATAAGCTGTCTGTGCCAACACCTATTCAAGATACCATCCATCAGGCTGAGAGGTTTCTGGTTCAGATAAGCTGTCAGGTTCAGCAGGTGTCTGTTCTCCTCACACAGATGAAAGGCCTTGAAGTACTGCATACATTATTGTACCAGCCGCCTGCAAGACAAAATGTTCCACCATTAACATTACAAACGCATGACACTGATTGTTTATGTTTCTTCAATGAAAAAGCAAAGATAATTTTCCATGTAGTATTATAAAAGACAGAGAAAATGCAATGACCTGAATAAATGTAAATTTGTAAAGTACCATTAAAGTATTTGTAAAAGTTTATATTTTAAAACCTAAGCATGAAATTCATGTGGGTTTTCACGAAAGATACTTGACATCCTGAAGTTGCATCAGTAATGGTCTATCCAAATCTTTTTTTTTTTTAAGTGTTCTAAATGTTTGCGTTTCTCATCTTGCAGATTGACATGCAAAATCCTGAGTTCAGACTTTTTACAAATCTCTTTCATGTTGTAGTTATTTCAGCACTTCTTTAATCTGTTTGTGGTAATATAATCAGTGTATTTCTGTTTATTTTGGTTCATAGCACTACTAAATTAGTTCTCAGCTGATGTGTGACATGCTAGATACAGTGATCGGTTTTAGGCATATATAGAAGGTGAATATTTGCAGTTGTGTAATTAAAGTGAATTAAAATTTAATTTAATTCTGCCAAACTGGCAGCAACAACATGAGGCCATCATTTAGTTTATAAAACCTGAAAGGTCAAACCACTAGTACATGTATACAACTAAAAAATATTTTGTTACTTAGCTAAAAAGACATGTATTCCAATCCAGAGGTATTATAAGCTTTAATGAAACTTTAAGTGACAGATGGAGGTGTTGTGACTCACCTGCGGTCCGGAGGTAAATGCACGGGTAGCTGCTGGGACTGTTCTGAGAGTACCAGTTGGTGTAGCTGAAGCGGCTCTGGTCCAACCACCTCCAGTTCTGCACACATGAACACAGTAAATTAAACCTGCCACAGACATCTGTCTGTCCATAGACATCACAGTGTAGTCCAACTATTTCTTTTCTGTCACCTGTTACACACACTTTGATTAATATATTTATATTTTTTATTATTTATGTATGATAAGCTAATGACCTGGAAGTAGTATCCTCCCATCCAGGCGGTCTGGCTGCCTGCTCGGCTGGTGAGCGACTGGAGGAAAGTATATTCAAACAAATCACTGGCAGATGCCATGGTAGCTCCTCGAACGGCACAGTAGGACTGAGGGACACACACACACACACACACACACACACACACACACACACACACACACACACATTAAAAGGGGTTCACTTGTAGTTTTAAGCAATTCAAAATGTAATGAAATCAAAGTGCATAGACACCGATAGATAGATAGATAGATAGATAGATACTTTATTGATGCCGAGGGAAATTCAAAGCAATTACTATTCATAAAAGATGATTTTCAAAAGCAACCTCACTCTACCACGTGTGACCAGTAGGGTAAAAAAAAAAGGTTTAAAAAACGTACTGTCGGGGAAAATCTTTAAAAACAAAAACACAAAAAAATTGAATCAGGCATATCAGCAGGCTGCAACTCCTGATGGGAGCAACAAACTCTTCCTATAAAACAAATCCGTCCCAGTTTGGGAGTAATAAGTGAGGTTATGGTCCTCACCAGGGTAGAGAAACAAACAGACACCTTCACACACACATTTCCCATTGATTTTTGCCAATAAAGCTTTGAATTGAACATAGTTAATTACCTCAGCGCTGCTCCAGGAATAGGATGAGCTCACAAAATAATAGCAGTTGCTCCTGTAACGTTCCCAACCAGATGGACAACTGAAGAAACGTTCTGTAGAGGACAAAGAGAAACAGCACATCATCACTCTGACAGAGAAATCAGAGAATCAAAGTGAAGAGGAAGAGTGAATATTTAAAGATAGCAAACCTTTAATTGGAGAATCGATCTCTACAACATCTAACATGGCAGCATATTCTTCTAAAAGTAGAGACAAAAAAAGAGTCATGTTTGGATCAAAATATAATCGACTCAGGATGCAGACAATCATGTGTTTAGCTTTTTACCTTCACTTATATGAAGTTCATCTTCTTCCACTGAGAGAGGAACAGAAAACAAGAGTTGTGTTAGAGAGCGATTCAGAGAACTCGCACGCAACACAATGAGTCAGATATCAACTGTGTTTAATGTGTGGGAGCAACTTACACTGATTGTCCTTCTGCAGCTCTGGAACTGCAGCTGCAACATCTGCAAGAGCTTCAACATCTTCAACAATTTCAACATCTGCAACAGTGCCGACATCTGCAACAGGTTTAACATCTGCCAAATCTGAAAGGAAAGTCATCTCTCATTTATTTTATTTCCACCATTATTCTGCTTTTAACAACTGGTTTTTAATAAGTTTGTTCAACCATTGCATGCAAAACATCACCCAAATGATCTTAAACCAAGATAAATCTCAGCTTTTATTCTGTCTATAAGTGTTTAGCTCTATTGCGCTTTCTTAAACAGATTTTCCTTACATGCCATTGTAACGCTGCTGGTACAGGAGGTGTAGCTAGTTGGCAATAAGTCCCGGGATAGCTGGTTAACATCAGTTAAACAGACGACAAAGTTGGGGATTTCCACACGGCACTTTTATTCTGTTTTACTAAACGGACCATACAAAGCCAGGTCAGCACGGCACTATATATCCTGATCACACATGACAGGTAAAAATAGGCTATTATCCTGCACCAACTCGTCACTAGAGTTTTTGGAGAGTCCTCTCGTGATCGACATACAAGATGACTGACATAGATAGACTTTCTCACCCACACACCTAAACAAAACAGAGACACCACCTTGTGGCGCTATTTGGTACTACTAATATATTCTGACTGTTACACCATCATGCCTTTTTCTACCTTATGACCCTCTGTAAAAAGAATTCCAATCCACTCTGCTCAGACAACTTTTTTATATTAAAAATATGTGAAAGATTTGGTTCCTGCGGCTGTAATGTTTGGAAAAACTCTTTGCAGCAAACGCGAAGAGTGTAATAAAACAGACTCAGCTTAAAATTATTTTTTAATAAATGTGTGTGTTGCACATTATATGTATGACGCGCACCCACACACTCTCCCTCTTCTATCATCTGGGAAGTGAAGGACAATGCCAACTTTCACCATCAAGTGACAGGGGATGGTTACAGGTTGACTCATTCATAAAACTGTGTTTACATATGTTAACATTATTTTTGTGTAAGTGTGCGTTCTGGCTGGAGGCTCATCAGCAGGATCAGCTGCACCTGGTGGAATCTGCCTACAAATAGCTGCTGGTTATTTTTGGCTTTTGTAAACGTGCCAGCGTGTCTTATCTTCCTACTTTGTCACAATCTATGAGCCAGGATGAGACAGTGAGTCCACATAATTAATATTATAGCTGTTAGCTCCGATCTAAAGAGAGGAAAATCTGTTTATCTTTTACAAACATCTATAAGAACAAGTTGTAAAATTAACAAAATGAACTTACCCGCTGCAGCTGTGAGAGCAAGAACTGAAAGGAGCAGGATAGCTTTCATGTTGATGATGAGGAGGAGGATGATAAAGTGACTGGAGGCCTGCTGGGAGTCAGAGACAAGTCAGTTACAGAATATGTTAACATGAACAGTCAGACAGAGAGAGAGAGAAGTCAGCTGTCTTACCTGTCAGTTGAATATCTGCTGATGCTCAGGTATCAGGTGAGTGATGAAGAGGAGGTTGTCCGGCTCTTTATATACACACACCTAAACCTGAGCTTTGACCTTGGGCTGAACGTGAGTGTGTTTGTTTCAAAGTGTGTTCAATCAACGTGCCCCAGTTTGCGAGAATTGAGGCCAATAAGGAAGCACTGATAGAAACATTCTTCTGATAAATGACTGATAATAAAATATGTTCCAGCACTAATGATAACGAAGGATTCTGTCTGACATGATTCTGACTGACACACTTTCGTCCGCACGTACAATGCTATTAGAGAAAGACTTAATGATTAATGTTGTCCTGATTTGGTCTTATTTAGTTTTATATTTCAGCGTTTAGGTTTCCATGTTTTAATTTCTCCTGTTTATCCTAGTGTTGCTTGTTTCCCTTGTGTTTTTGTCCTAATGTTTCATAGTTTAGTCTTTAGTGTTTCGTGTGTTATTTTGTAACTTTGTACCCTAGTGTTTCTTTATTTTCGAGTGTGTTTTTGTTGCTTTCTTGAGTTCTCTGTGTATCTTAGTGTTTCTTGATTTATGTTGTAGTTCTAGTCTCCAGTGTTTCTTGTCTCGTGTTTATTTCTGCCTCTGTGTTTCCCAGTGTGATTGGCCTGATTGTCTTCACCTGTGTCTTGTTAGTCTCACCTGTGTCTGATTACCCTATGTCTATTTAGTCTCTGTGTTTCTTCCTCTCTGTGTCAGTTCATTGTTGTTTGTATGTCAGTTGTCAGAAGATGTCTGTTTTCCTTGTGGCTAGTTTTCTACTTTAGTAAGTTGTGTGTTTGCCTTTTTTTTTTGAGTAAATATATTTTTGTTAGATGTGCATCTGGGTCCTCCTCTTAGTTTTTCTCAAACCTTGACAGAATGAACTGACCAAACAATAGACCCAGCAGATTTTTGTTTTGAGTCCTGAGTCGCCCTGGACAGGGACTCGTCTGGCCTTTTCCCCTGGTACCTGAGGAGGGAGGAGAACGGGTCAACGGGGCTCACCGTGATGTCTGGAGTCCATATCCTCAAGCTCACTGCCCACTCCTGTGTCTCTGTGGTAGGCCATGCCAACTCCAGTTTCCTCGTTGGAGGTCCTGCCCAGTTCTGTGTCTTCGTCAGAGGCCCTGGCCACTCCTGCTCCCTCGTCAGAGGTGACTCCTGTGCTCTCGTCGGAGGTCCTGCTGACTCCTGCGCCCTCGTCAGAGGTCCTGCTGACTCCTGTGCTCTCGTCCGAGGTCCTGCTGACTCCTGCGCCCTTGTCGAAGGTCCTGCTTTTGGCTCCTGCACCCTCGTTTGAGGTCCTGGCGACTCCTGCTACCTCGTCGGAGGTTCTGGTGACTCCATTGCCGTCGTCAGAGATCCTGCGGATCCTGCGTCCTCGTCAGAGATCCTGCTGACTCTGCCCATTCCTGTGTCCTCGTTGGAGGCTACAACGAAACCTCCTGGCCTCCCCCTGAACTAGTCTGCTCGTTCGGTCGGCCTCCTGGCCGTCCACCAGAGCTGTTCCCTGTGTTTGGTCCACCTGAACTTTCCGGGCTATGTGCCCTGCCTCCAGGCCATCTGCCTGATGGTCTGTATGTCAGTTATCAGTGTCAGATGTCTGTTTTCCTCGTGCTCTAGTGTTACTTGTGGTTTCCTCGTGGCTAGTTTTCTACTTTAAAAAATTGTGTGTTTGCCTTTGGCCTATTTGTTTAAATAAATATTTTTTGTTAGATCTGCATCTGGGTCCTCCCCTTAATTTTTCTCAAACCTTGACAAATGTGTCATTATTAAATACTCTGCAAAAACTGAAAGCTCAGCAAGTTTATTTGTCAAAGTTTAAAGGTCCCATATTATGCTTTTTCTGGTTTTATACGCCCTTTAGTGTGTTTTCCAAGTGTCCTGTGCATGTAAAAATTCAAAGTCTGCGGAAACATGGCTTTTCCTACCTCCTCCTGTTAGCTGTAGCATTAACTGCACGTAACGCTCGGTTCCAGCGCCCCTCGAAATAAATTTGTCAGTGTGAGATCACTGATCTAAGTCCATTGGCTTGTTGTGGCAATCCCTGCAGCTCATGTTGAAATTTCCGAGACGCGTCCTGAGCAACTGACCAATAACGACAGAGTGGATCGGCAGACTTGGCCCACGTGGGGGCTCAGCAGAGCGTAGCTGACGGACTCGGAGTGTAGCGGGAGCAAGGAGGTGCAGTACATGAAAACAGACCCTTTTTTTCGGCTGTTGTGAACGTATAAAAGTAGGGCCAACAACACGAATTATTCTCATTTTGAGTTCAAAATATCTTTGACACTAAATAAAAAACCACACTTGCCTAACAAGTCCAGATAAACATCTTATGTTGAGATATATATTACAAGTTAAAAATTAAGACCTGCATTTGGTTTAAAAAAAAATTCAAATGCAGCAAGTGACATTGAAGTTTCAAGATGTGAGATGAATATTTTTTTGGACGTTTTTAATGATTCACACTTTCAGTTTTTGCAATTGTTGTTCACTGTTCGCGGGGAACAGTTAAGTGTCAACCAGATATCATCATGCGTTATATTTATGTCAAAAACCCAGAGATTGATAAACTAAAACTGTGAGCGTATTTTATTATTACCTGTATTTCCACTGCGGCACTAAGCTTACACGTCTTTGTGTAATCGACAGAGCTCCATTAGCCCTGCAGCGAGCTCTAGGCAACCCTGACAGAACCCCTTCTCGCGTGAAGTTGTTAAAGTGACCAATCATAAATGGGCCATTTCATCCAAGGTCTCCGACCCCCAATGTGTCTAATATCAGTTTGATTCGAGTGAGCAGTTTTCAACTTCGAGAGCAGAGCTGCTCCACATGAGTGTATTTTTCCTTAAATGTGGGTGCCATTCTTTGTCCCGCCCCCCTGATGTGTTTCATGCTTGCAGTTGCTGGAAAAGCTCTCGGGTTGGTGAATGTGAGCGCAAAACGTATAATTTACAAATGGTAGTAAATTTGTGCATTAGAGAAATAACAGAATTTGCTTGTGATTTCAAAAGCTTGTGTTTACAGTTTATTATTTAAGGAAATCTAGCGCCATAGTGTTGGGCCTGAACACTTTAACTTAGTGCAAACTATTTTTGGTGAACGAGAGCTAAGCTTTAGTTCACTCTGGAGACAAAGAACAACCGCTCACGTTCAGAGGTGCGAAGAGTCGCCGAGCTCTTCATGTCAATGTCTGATATCGAGCACCAGGCACATGTCCAACAAGCTCACATGCATACGTAGAGTTAAAGTAGAAGCCTGATCTGTTTCTTCCAATGATGACACTAACCGCTTTTTCAAACAGTGTTTGTATTCTGATTTTTTGTTGGAAACATTTATTGATTTCATGAAGTTACTTTGGAAAACTTGTTAGCTTTTTCTTGGGTCCCTGCAAAACATTTTAAACTAAGTTAGTCATAAATCAAAAGGCTGTAGGTTGGTATGTTTAACTAGTTCATTTTAATCTCTGTGAACTGAACTTTGAGCGAGCTCTTACAAAGGGTGATCTTTCACAACACTGATTATCACAGCAATAATGAAATTAGCTTTCATGCCTTTAAAACATGTTTAAATCTGCACGTGAGGAGTGAGAGTGTGGTGGCACATTTACTGGCATTTAGCGTTTTCAGCACTGTATTATGAGAGGAAGGCGAAAGGTTCAAGGACATATTGGCTTATGGACAAGTTGGAAAAATACAGGAAAATGGTTGGCAGGAACAACCAACGATTATGGGGCTACTTTTATGATATGAAAAAAAATAATGTTTTAAACGATGGAATCAAAGCAGTTGAGTCTCACATGAAATCCAGGAATTATTTTTCTTTGTTGGAGTTTTCAACTGGTCTTAAAAAGTGTTCAATTTCATTTTTTTAATTGTGAAGCAGCTCTGTTATTGTAAATCACTGACCCATGAGTCAGGTCACACCAATCAATCAATCTTTTTGGATAGCGCCAATTCATAACAAATGTAATCTCGAGACACTTTACAAAAACAGCATGTAGTCTTTGTTATATTATATTAGTAGTAACATTATCATATTATTAATTACAAACATGAGTGAGGACCCGTGAGTGTAGAGGATTCATTAGCGGGTAGGAGTAGGGTGACTACAATGTTGGGGTTAGTTTAGTTATTTTTAGTTATTTTAGGTACCTTTTTATGCTTTTATTTTCCTTTTACGCTAACCGGCTGGGATATATAATCCCTCTAGCTCGTAGAGCTACGACAGTGGATAGAGTCGGAAATCAGGGAGACAGAAAGTGGGAATGACATGCGGGAAAGGAGCCACAGGTCGGATTTGAACCTTGGTTGCCGCTTGGAGACCACAGCCTCCATTCACGGGCGCGCGCACCAATCACTGCCTGCGCCACCGCGCCAACAGTGCCCCCTTTAGAAATTATATTGTCAGTAATTCAAGGGGAAATATTATTCAATGAGATGAGCTAATAATCTTCATCTTTCATTGTATAAAACATCCCTCAAACAATTATCGGGAGTCATCTCATGGATAAATATGTTACTTAAATTATTATCCATGTCATTAAGTGTGTACAACAAAAGACTTAGAAACTCTTTGATTACAAAGTCATAAATAGGAACCGTAACCATCTCTATAAGAAAATGGAAATTATTTATTGTTGGCAATGTTTTTGCTTGTTTCTATTTTTTTACCCCTTGTTTTTTGCTATTTTATACTTAATCCGTAATAGCTCACAGAAGTGCAATACCTGACTGGACATTTCTACATATGTCTACATATTCTCTGATAAAATATTTTCTCTTAATTTCTTAATTGTATTGTATTATGGTACTGGATTGATGTCCTCAGTCCACAGATTTTCCATGGGTGTTAAGGTCCCTACGTATGAACACACACTCATTATAGATCCTGTTCTATAAACACACCTACTTATAACTTGTTTAGCTTTTTCATATTTACTCAATAATTTCCTGAGTAATAATTTCCATTACATTGTCTACAACAATTGCCATAATATAACAAATCATAGTTTAGATAATATAAAAAGTTACCCCCACCTTTTTTTATTTATTTTATTTGCATAATACAAGTCATATCTATGTGAGCTTCATC